TTGCATCTTCTACTTTTGACATTGTTTATTTTGTCACAAAGGACAGAAAACACATCTCCTTCCTTCGAAATGTTGCGATTCTGCCACGTAATCGCGAGGAAAAAATTATAATATTTCCTGACCTGCAGCCGCGAGTGGCGGCGATGAGAAGCAGGCAGCATGACGTCAATCGGGGACTTGTAAAAATATAGGAAGTTGTGCAAATACCTAATCAATAAGATGTAATTTTTCTATAAATCTTGTCGTTCCAAGATAAATATAAATGCGTCGAAAACCTAGTATCATCGATAAAACTTTGCTTATACGGAGTTTTAGTGGCCTTATCTATACGGGGTCAACAAAACCGGCAGTTGCCGCGCTACCGGGCAAGCATGTGGTCACGTGGTCGCGAGCGGGTGAGTTCTCGCTGCTCACTGAGGGCTCTAGGGAGAGCTTCACCGGAACCCTGCGCGTCCCCCATTGACGTCACAGCGCACGTGACTCGGAAGATGGTGAAGGAGTTGAGAGGTGCCGAAAACCTTAATCTCTGTCAATTTTTAAAATTATAACTAGGACATGCAGGCAAAAGCGGTTCCTTGTTCCTTACTTCAGAGAGGTCGAGACACCAACTCCCAAATTATTTAAGCAAAGCACTAAAATTGTTGCACAGCTCCTTTAATAATAATTCTCTGGAAATGGGCGATGCGTCTACAAGTACATATGAGTTTTTTTTGTTTTTTTTTGGCTGATTTAAAGTGGAATGTACACGTCGACTGTGTTGTTTAGAAGGCTTACGGCAAACGTTGCTACTTGAAGCGTAATTTCGAGCACTGGTCTTTCGATATAAAGCTTACTGTATACAAAACTCTGGAGTAATCGGTCCTAGAATATGCCTCTCAAGTTTGGCATCCGCACACAGCACACATTATTAAAGAAGGTGCGGGGGTTTGCATTGCGCTTCCTATACAACCTATAAAAACAAACAAATATGTCGCTTCCCTTTACGGAATCGCTCAATTTCTTTTACCAACTAAACGTTGTAAGTTAAGATTAAAATGTTATACTTTATGTTAAACGATGATTTTATCATAAACATTACACAACATTAAACTCCTCAAAATTTTCGTGCCACGAGAAATATTTATAATATGGTTCTTTTTTATTTTCGTGTCTAAATAACCCTTTTATATTTTCATTTTTTCCACGTACCATCGAGGAATGAAATATGCTTTCTGAAGCACGTAATTTTGACATCACCTGGTTTATTTGTAAACCCTTTGTAAAGTTGTTCTTGAATATAATTTTTGTTACATTTCCGCGTATATTTCTAATGAGAATTCTTGGTGTCTTTCTGGTTTCTTTTTTATAACTTCTTGTGCGAATAGCCTTTTAATCCCTCCCGCCACAACTCCCAAAAAGAGGTTAGCAGTATGTGTAAATAAATCAATAGATAAATAAATTAATAGAAATTTGCAAATTCAGGTTTCTTTTCTTATCTTTTTTACGAATCGATAAAAAATATAATGAAAACCTTATTTGGCTTCTTGGCACTGCGGTCACTTAAAATAACTAGAGTCGAGTTCCTGGAACTACAAAATATTCATTATAATAAAAAGGTCACAAATATCTCGTCTTACACCGACCACCAGCACAAAGCGATGAAGCTAGTGGGGCAAAATGAGAAACCCCGTTAGAAATAAATGAGAGGTGAATACTTGCACTCGAAACATTTGAAATATACTCCGTGGAGTGAGCCACCTCACCGCTGGTACAGTGGCTCACTTACCCGGCGCCTTTCAATCTCCACTTGCAGCGGGCCCTAGTTGCTCACGTCCAGTCGACACTCAAGAGCCTCGAACGACGAAGACCATCGGGACCTCTACTTAGCGCCGGACGGGGCATCCCTTTGACAATAGTTTTAACACAGACACACACGCCTGCGAAGTCTTCGTGAACCCACATTTTTGCACGCCGTACACTGGATCCACAAAAAACGGAATCTGTTTGCTCCATACTAGTTTTGCTCATCAGGCATTGCCAGACACATTTGGTGCTTGTCGCGCTGTTTTCACAATGCTTCTGCTTCACCGGCTTATTAGGTAAACAAATAGTCTGCAGATGATCTCCTTCCACCCCGAACGATCTTCTTCCTCGCTTTCATTTGATTCATAGTAAGGGGTAACTATCATCTGCTCATCATTGTACGTGAGCCCAGGAGGGACTTCTCCCTGTTTGGGATTTTTGTATTTTTTGTTCTGAAGGAACTTGTTTTCAATCCCAACTCTCTTTTATAAATAAGTTTCCACATTCGTTGAATTTTCTGGCACGCTTTTGGGGTACATCCTTTGATTACCGAAGTATTTTGTTGCGGCGGGAATGCCGCTGCGGATGCGCACTTTCTCGAGCTTTCTTCGTGTTAAGTTTGTACCATTAAGCCTTGGCTGTTGCTTTTTGCGTCCCGACTATCCTAGGCGATAAGAAGAAAGCTACAACTAAACAAACAACATTTAACCCGCGAAATAGTTTTCTGACCCTGTTGAAGGCAATATTGTGGCGTCTTGCCCCATAAATTGTCTCGCATTAAAAAAATTATTGTATTAACAATAAGAACCCAGAGTAATACAATTATATTCTGAGTAAGCTAACGAAGCAGACAACTAAGATAAGGGCTTAGCCTGGTACAGTTGAATTTCCAAACTCAGGTGCATACCTCTAGTAAAATGCAAGTGCAGAATTTAACACCATTTTGACGGTTGTACAGCCACGAACGATAAGTGCACATTTCTTCTTGTCGGCACGTTTACACCAAATGTATCAGATATTCTGTGAAATGAAGCGGACAAGTCACGCTTCACTACGCAACGCAGCAGAGGCTGGTTGCACTGTTTCTTCACGGGGCGCGGTGCCATCGGGGCCGAGAAGCGCTCCGGTTGCAAACCGAAACTTAAAAACCCGTTGAATTTGTGAGGTTTCTCAGAAAGCCGTGAAATGCTGCGCGTGCCTTCTATCGTTCAGCAATTTGTTGATTTAGTGCTTTTCGATGCTTCTGAGCAATTTTCCAATGTAAACTGTGCCCTTAAACACAATATTTAAAAAGTTAATTATGCAAAAACAATTAACAACTGAATTATCCCCAACATTAATGATATTTCTAAATGGGCCCCTGGCACACGACCAAAACGACACAAGCTTTTTTTTTTTTTTTGCGATGCCTAGTTTTTGCAATATCAAATTTTTCCACTTTTCGTGAAACCACCCTGTGAATATATATATATACAGGGGTGTCTTTTTGTTACTCTTTCACATTTGTTAAAAAAAAGCCGTGAAAGCTACATTTATGTTGTTTGTACAGGTGAGTTAAACGGCCAGGGAGACATAGTACAAGAAGATAGTGAAACTATCAGTAAGCTAATTAAGTAAATTTTGTTAATTAACTTTCTAATTAGTGCAAACAGACACATAGTTCCAATTACAAACTTGCTAAGCATCATCAAAAACCACTAAATCAACTTTTTTTAAAAAGATATAACTCCGGGGCAGCATTTTACGGCGTTTTGTAAAAACGCTTTATTTGGACGCGTTTCTAGATTTCGGTTTCTTATCGGGGCGCATCTTTGCGCCCGCGGTCCTGCCCCCCGGTGGTCGCGGCGCAAAGCCACCTCCTTACCTCCTCGTAGAATGGGGGAAAGCAGGGAGCACGTGTGTTGCGAGTTTCAGCCACTGGGCAGCAGGACCACGGGATCGTAGATACGCTCCGATAAGAAACCGAAATCTAGAAACGCATCCAAATGGAGCGTTTTCACAGAACGCCGTAAAATGCCTGCCCCGGCTTTATTTTCCTCTAAAAAGAGTTCATTTACTGGTTTTCGACGATGCTCAACAAGTTTCTAATTGGAACTATATGTGTATTTGCACTAATTAGAAAGTTAATTAACAAAGTTTACTTAATTAGCCGAATGATAGTTGCGATATCTCCCTATACTCTGCCCCCCTGGGCGTGTAACTCATTTGCAAAAGCCGCATAACTGTAGCTTTCACGATTTTTTTTAATCAAATCTGAAAGAATAGAAAAAAAAAACATGTATATACATAGTGCTATATATAAATTATCTGCTGATTTCGGTACGTCATTATACAGTGTGGCGTCCAGAACCATTGGAGTCAGATGCACCAAACCGAAATTTCTCGAAGCCGCTAGTCGACTCGAGCCTTCCATATGCATTGTGCGAGGATCAAACTTAGTTCTTAGAGAGCTACATGAAATGCTTGATAGGGGGTCATCAAAATCGCTCCCATGGCATTTTCGGATGACGCAGGAATGTAAAGACAAAAATGTAGAAATTGAAAGGGAATACTCCATTTTGAACTGCAGCGTTGTCCACCCTGATGAACTGAGTCCTCAGCAGGTCCAAGCGTTTTTTATAGCGCTTGTAAATTGATTATGAGACTCCTGGCTACCACCTCGGAGAACGCTAAGCCCATTCTTCTAGAAGAAAGGGATTTGATTTTACGACATTTTTTTAGTAGGAGGATATCGTCGGCAACAGAAAAGCATTTGCGTCTGGCGATACTTACTGGTTCCACTGAAGCCATCCTGCTTGCAGAGTTACTTTCTATTGCTGGAAGCGTTTTCGCGAGACTACGGAATCTTTCTGTACCGGTTGTGTTCCGGGATCCCAGTTCGCTCTCGGCGTATCGTACCGGTAGTGCCGGTAGTGCCGGTAAGATGCCTGACAGAAGACCCTGTTATGGTAACAACAACCATTCTACAATAATCTCCCAAGAAAAAAAAAAAAATCGCCGACCGTGGCGTTGCCCAACCAGGCTGCACGTGGAAGCCTCACCCTTTTATTTTCGAGCGAGTCCTCGTGCTGACCTTTGCTTTCGGGAGTTAGCTGAATTTCTCTAGTGTTACGACATTTGTAGTGTTACTGTTATGGAGGGTGCACTGTAGTTGTTACGAAGTGCGGCAACTTCTCGAGGGATTTACTGCAATGAGAAGTCACAATTATTGTTCACAGAGCGGAGACCGAGGCTGATGCAGCGTCAGCGTCTTACGTCAGCGTCGGTGGATGCCTCTGCTGCAGGGAGAATGCCACTTGACTTTGAAGCCGTCGCCTATGAAGAGCTCGGAGAAACGCCACAGCTGAGGAGGGACACAGTTTTGGAATTGCGAAAGCTCATCCATGGTAAATTGAGGAAACGAATGCCACAAAGAATGCACCTGTGAAACATCGACATTATGTTGGATCTGCTTACGAGGATACATAAGCCACATGAAGTACTAAATTAAATTTAAGTCAGTTCAAGGTGTTCATTTATAAATGACTGACTGGTTTTAATAAGGCGGCCACCAGGTGTGAGTAACTAACTCAACAACTAAAGTAAACGTCTCTAAATACAGTGTATATATCACAGTTGTACCAAAACTTAAGATATATTTCTCACGACGAGCTTGATGTCAAACTGAAATATGATTATGCAAGTTTAAGTTGTTATAGTTAGAATGCCTTAAAGTGATGGAAGGTCTAATATTAGTGGTTGTCCTGTTAAGAAAAGGCCAAGCTGGCGTGCTCTTTTCTAGTTCAAGCTTTTTCTAATATTGTTTCCGGATGGGACTCTTATGCGTCATCACTCATGGCGATAAAACATGAAACAAAAACTGCCTAACCTAAAATGCAGAATTACTACGCTTAATTATGCAAGAGCATTCTTTGAGTTGATGAAGTCGTATGGAATAAAGACCTGAGAGACGAGGAAAATATGGGGACCGTCTGCCTTGCAGATTAAGCGTACTTTTACGTCGCCTTTTAGGGTGGTGCAAATAGCAGCTCGCTCGAGCTGGAAGTCGAAAAAGTGCGATGTTTTTCTCCTTCGAAAATCGCCACAGACAACAGCAGTCTGAGGTTGCTTCAGACAGCTTTCGATGGCATTTATAAAATTTGTCAATAGCGTTTAGAAAGTTCTCGCACCAAAGGATTGTACCAGTGAACCGCTATGTCCATTTCATTTGGCAGCTCAGTCGGACCTCAGGTGTCCGTCTGATGACGCCTTCCTGGTTAAGTTCCTGCGTGCCCGGAAACACTGCGTGGGGGAAGCATTCGGCACGATCCAGAAGTACTTCCGCGTTCGAGAACTACACCAAGACATCTTCCAGGATTTGTTGCCATCTAAGGTTATGTTCGACGCAATAGTTCGCCAAAGCAAAGTGCTTACGCTGCTCGAAGAACGAGATCATCTGGGAAGGCTAGTAGGTGTCCTCAAGTCGGGTGAGTCCCATAGATGTATATGCAATACAGTTTTGAAAGGAACGAGCACACGGACATCAAACGCATTTACATAGAACATAAGAAATGGATTGCCGCCTAGATATCATACAACCACGGATGGAACCATAGTCTCGTATAAGCACGAATTATCTAGAAATCTCTGCGGACAGTCATATATCCTATGCTCCTTTATTATTTTGCGTATTAAAGTCTGAAACTTGCTTTGGTGGAGCCTGTCGATTCCAGTTAATTTCAATTTTATGCCTTAAGGGCCCCAGTGGGGCATTAGTATTAAATAAGGGGGTAATATACGAACACATGAGACACTTTAATACAAAAGTAGAGAACAACTTATCAAACGCTGTTCGCCTTCAATTATTATTTGCAACATTCTAGTAGGAAAACACATGTAGTGTGAGCTCTGTTGAAAGTAAGGGACGATAAATTATTGTCACAACAAATTCCGGTATTGCATTTTACCTATTTATTCACGAAATGAGGGGTGCAGTTTTACAAGTGTTAGTTCTGGCAAAAGGAAATTCAAGCTTATGACAATGGTCACGTCGAAGGGAGATATATCATTTCATTTTATTTATTTACCTAACGGGCGTCTTTTGGGGACGCATTACATGAGAGGGTGGACGGTAAACACATTCGTTAAGTAGAACAATATGACCAAACTAGTTCTTTAATCATAGGCGCTATATACCCAAGAGACACAACCAGACCGACATTTATACAATTATAATTTTCAACTTTGGTCTAATCACACAATAGAGTCTATAGTGTGACGAGATATTTTCTAACAGAGACCACCTTGAATTTAAAGAAATTCGCGACAGTCTATGACATAGATGCTCGGAAATTTCGTTCAATTCAACGTGGTTTGTGTTAGAAAATATATCGTCTGGTAAGTCATTCGAATCTGTAATGGAAGATATGAAGGGAATAAACAGGAAAGATTTTATATATGACCGGAATTGCTGTACTTCCCATGGTTCGAGGAGAAATTTAATCTACGCAATGTCAAAATATGTTTTTGAAGTCTGAGGTACTATAGTTTTTTACGTCATGAAAAAAAAAAACATATCCGATTAAATGTGCGCTTGGTAGATATTGCAGAAGGGTTTGGATTTGGGCTAGTTGGTTGAACATGTTTAGGGGTTAAAAGCGCTAAAAACGACGGATGAGTAGGAGAGGCACACACCACAGAGCGCTACTTGCAACCTGAACCGTGTTGGTTGGGAAACCAAATTCTATTGATCCTAGTATAAGGGGATTTTAGAACGGATGCCATGTTTCATAAGCTCTGAGGGTAAACTGGTGAGTGAAATAAGTCTGTAGTTCGATACATTTTATTTGTGTCCTGTCAGAAGGTACGTCAGCAGAGTTCAGACTTGTTGGAAAAGAGCGCTGAATAGTTTTGATGCTAGGTGCTCTGACAGCTTTAGAAGTTTGGCCGATATACCGCCATATCCAGTGGTGCTGTTTGAAGACGAGTCATTGGATCCCTTCGGAACTAAATAAATTAGGAGGCATACATATTTTCTGATAAGACGGAAAGTAGGAGAGGAGTGGAAAGATTTCACGCGTAAAGACGCTGGAAAAGAATGAATTTAATGAATTGGCAGCCTAATCACCACAAAGCATTTCACATTGATCGTTTAAAAATATATTTATAGTCTGTTCGGATATACTATTTTCCAGAACCTCTTGGGGTTCATTGAAAAGTTTATGTAAGGTGACAGAAAAAAAAGTATAATTTCACTTTTTTTTTACTTCGCATTTGCACAGGAGCGATATGATGACCAAGCAGCCAAGTAGTCAGCTCCATTCGCGTATAAGTATACTCTTTTCTTAATTCAACATACGCTTAAAATTATTGGAAAACCAGGGAGATACACAGTCAGATGTTCCAGCAGTGTTTGGCACAAATGTGTGAGGTAAGTCTACAAACGTGTTTTTAATAAGGAGCTAGCTTTGACTTGCGGATCTCTCGCTATGGGATGACATGTAATATATTTAGAAGTTCATTATTGCCGACGTTATCCCATCGATACTGGCACGCGACAACACGAACATTTCTGCAGGAATATTTGTGGGGCGGTTAGGTTTCTTTGACGTTTGAACATGAATCAGAGTGTGGTCACTTTACTTATCATACTAGTGACAAACGTCACACATTCTGGATCAGAGGTGAGGAATAAATCCGGTATAGCAGTATGACGGGTTGCTGTGGTAATCATCTGGTAAATAACAAATACACTAATTGAAGAAAGGAACTCAATACGCCGGGGAGAATTTGCACAGTCGGGACGGGGCGTTAGTGTCGACCAGTTTATTTCGGAATAGGTAGCATCGCCAACAAAAAAGCAATGATCATTGTGAAAATTTCTGGTTACAGTTCCAATGCGTGATACAAAGAAATATTGAATTATGCGCGATGGATATGTTGCGGGAGGTAACAAACACCGACTAAGACAAAGCGAAAAAAACAACTTGATACGAATTCATAGCACTTCAATATCGGATAAGCATGCAATTGGAAACCGTGATACAGCTCTTTTGGTCGCAATGATCACACCAAAGCACCTAGCCAGGTTTCTTTCTTTTTAAATACTATTTTATGATCGATTTAAATGAGTTGGTCATTTGTTATATCAGGAGTTTGCCAGATTTCTGGCCAGTAATATCGTCAGGCTTGCTAGAGGAAGTGATGTTTTCAAGTTCATCTTGTTAAGATGAAGAACTTCGAATGTTTGCAGCAAATAAAAGAAAGATTAGCACGAACAGTGCGATTCGGGGACTTGTGGTTTACAATGTGTAAGTCATTCTGCGCACTGCAATCCCGGCGCGTGCGAAGTAAAACAACGGAATCACAATCTGGGTCATAAATATACGACTGTGTATCGACATGTGCCTGTTAAAATTAACTTTGTATTTCGTTCCGCTTTCTCTAAATTGTTCTTCAAATTTCTAGAACTTCTGCTGCGCAAGGTGGACCTTATCAGAAAAATCTTCAAAGATTCGATTTCGGGGTGTTACATTTTTTATCTTGAAATGATTCCGAAAAAATTTTGATTTTGGAAACGAAAAAATTTCACGATTATGGGTCGATTTGTTTTCGATTGTTTTCGACCCAAACCATGAGTCCTTTCAATTTCTCCCCAGACAATTCGCATTTTTTCTTGTGCAAAGCCAGTAACAATGCTTTTGGTAATCCCACTTCCCGTTTTCCAGTTCTTCCAGTCCTTTTAATATTAAATTGTTTCGCCTCATTCTGTTCGCCATGTCGTCAACAACACTGCTCATTTCAGTCAGATGATCACAAAAAGATATCGAGCAGGACTTGATTCTGTTCACTGTTGATTCTATGGTACTTCAGTTATTCTGAATTTTAGAAATTTCATGTACTTGGACTTCAAAATTACAGACCCGGGCTCCGAGGGCAGCGATGCCGCTGTTGACTTGATCTAACTTTAAAGAATTTTCTTGCTGATGTTGGTTGGATGCTGCAATCAGGGCCTTCACCGCTTGCTGCTGCTTATAAATGTTTTCTGTGGGTGTAGGGTCTGAGTTTGCCTCAATGTCTCGGCGGAAGCCAAAACCGTGAATATCGCTATAGCTGCCGTGAACAGTTTCACAAACTAGAACATAGTTTTGACAGGCAGATGTAGTATCCTTGTATGTTGAGTCGAAGCCGCTTTCTTCTTAGGTACAAAATAGCCGATGCGAGCTCTGAAAGTAGCTATGTCGACACCCAGCACAACGAAAAAGAGCTAATGCAGGGTTGCACTGTGGGGACTCACAGTCACTTCAAAAAAGAGAAGGAAATCGAGCATCGGAGCCTTTACGCTCACCTGTAACGATATTGACGATATGAGCGCTACAGTGAAGGGCGTGAATCCCGCGGTGTTCCTTGCGACGCCTTCTTCTTTAATTATTTGTGTTTGGTCGTGGTGATGAGGTTGACACGTAGCTTGGTCACGGGGTTCGTCGCCTTGATGAGTCAAGCCGGTAGAGGCGCTGTCATCTTTGGGAAGGGTCCGTGAATCCCCTGATTAGCTGGTGACAGGTCCGTGAATCCCCTGATTAGCTGGTGAGAAAGAGCCCAGGATCAGTCCAAGGTCTGTAAAACAAATCATGAAAAAAAGATTGCCTGCCTATAGCGTGCGTGTCCTTAAAAGGGCGTTATGAGATTGAGTGTTTCAATATTGAAATGCTTGAGATTGAATAGTCGTATAGAATAAAGCAAGTTCCGCGGTTTTTAATTGACTCTAACATGTCGGAGAGATAAGTCTGATGGTGGCTCCAGATGGTAGAGGCATATTTAAGTTTGTATTTAACGAGAATTCAGTACGACATCTGTTTGACGTATGTCGAAGTTTGATAAAAATGGCCTCTTATGATTACTAAGGTTTCATTTGTGCTTGGAGCGACGTATTCAATGAGATTTCCAGGTCTGAACTTAAATGAACACCACAATATTATTAATTAGAAGAAACGTTAGTTAGTGAAAGAATAGCAAGTTGACAAGCGTAAGTCGGTTGATTACGCGATTTAGAAAAAAAAAACATATTTTGATTTAAGGTGATTAATAGACATGAGCCACTTCGCACGCCACATCTCAATCAAACATAGGTGGCCTTGCAAAGCGTTAAAATTAGCCTCATTGTTAATAGCACCATAAATAAGAACATTGCCGGCAAACAAATGAACACTGCTTATAGACCGACACGCTGTTTACAAACAATCCGGCGTTTGCCCACACCAGGTGTGGGCACTGCGCGTGCGCAGAAACCGAATTCGCGTGAAGGGAAGCGTCTGCGCATGCGCAGTGCCGTCGACAGCGCCACCGCAGCTGCGTGACGTCAGGGCTGCGTGTTGGTCTATAAGTTGGCTACCAATATCATTAATCTAAATAAAGAAGGGCCACGGGCCCAGCGCGGTTCCCTGGGGTACTCCTGGAATAACTTATAAAGAATAAGAAGTATAGCCTTACCAAATCTCACAGTCTGGATTCTTGTTGTAAGAAAGTTGTTTATCCAAATATTTAGTTCATTAATTAGCACATAATTAGTGTTCATTGCTTTTGTTGATATAAATTGCTTGAACGAGTTTGACGAAGAAATGAAGGAATTGACCGAAGTCTTCCAAGCTGTCTTGAAGCAATATGAACTCCATCACCACGCTCAAAAAAGGGTTTTCCTCCAGTATTTGCTGCCCACAGTTCCCATATTTCAAGCTAATTCATTTCAGCTGCTCTACTTTCATGCATCACTAACATGTGTTGAACGAAAAAGTTTAAATCTCTTTCGGCCATTCTGTGCTGAAGCACAATAAAAATCACTGTACAATGCCGCTCGTTAAACATATTCAGCTAGTGGAACTTTTTAGCTTTATGAACCCATTGAAACCTTACAATCCCTAAGAAAAAGTTTGTTACCAATAATCAACTATTGGTATCAACTTTTATGTTGCTCAAATGCTAGCACCGAAATCATTTAAATGCCAACAGCGCACGGACCACAGCCAGATTATTTTTTATTCGTAAAGAGGAGTTCACTTAATTCCCAGACCGAGGACAGGTTTTGCAATTGATCTTCCAGGCGCCTGGAATCCCGAGGTGTGCAGTTTGAACGAGGTCTTCAGGACCGGTGTTGTGGTCGGCGAATATTGCCTACTGGACGAAAGAACTCAGATCGCAGGCGTTGTAGGCATTGTGGACCTTAAGGGGCTCGGTTTCGAGCACGTTCGCCCCTACACACCCTCCGTGATCAAGACGTCAATTCAGCTTTGTCAGGTACAGTGTTTCGTTTCCTTTACAGATGTCTTCAAACTCAGTATCTGTACCCAAAAGAGTCGTACATGAAAGCATCAACATAAAAATCCAGCACAATTAAACTAGCCCGGGAAATGTAATAGAAGTCATGATTGCAGAAAATATATTTCTTCGAACGTGTGATTACTTTCATTAGCCACTCAACGGTTCGTTCGCACTATTGAAGAGTGGATACAACCGTCGCGCCCCTAGCAGCTCAGTTGAGGACTAAACCCAAAAAGACAACAACAAAACATTTTTTTTGTGTGTGTGTTCCTGACGCAGTTGCTCGAGTGACTTAACTGAATGCCGCCTCGGTGTTTAGATGGGGCTCGTGTATAGTCATGGAGGAGAACAAGCAGAATGCTGACGCAGCACTCCTTCCCAAACTGCGCCCAGTAATCGAGGCCGGTATAAACATAGAGGATCCAGTTCACAGGCATTGTGTTCGGTGAACACCGAGCGGCTCCTTTAATTTTATGTCCTCGCCGATAACTTGCTTTGTTTTACAGGACTGCTACCCAATGCGCTTGAAAGCAATATACATCGTAAACAATCCTCCCATATTCGAGGTCATCTACTCCATTGCAAAGCTGTTCTTGAAACAGAAGCTCGTGGACAGGGTAAGAAGAAATGTGTGATTCCGGGGCCTTGAAAAAGAGCAGGCTCTGCTCGAAACACCGAATAAAGCCTCTGCTGCTACTCACAATTTTTTTTCTATATATGGACATTGGCAGGATTAGCTAACAAGACCCTTCAACGAAAAGCAGTTCTTTCCATGCTCGAGTAAACCGTTCTGGCATTTAAAATTAGCGCAGCGTTCGACAAAACGCCACATATCGCCCACATAACAGATCTCAAACGCGGTTCGCAGCTCCAACCACCTGATTTGGGAACCACTTTTTTTTTCTTTGTGTTTGTACTTTTGCGAAAACTCGGCGGCAGTACCTGCAGAAGCGCACGGTATGCACACGATTCGTTTTTTATTGAAGTTTTTCTTTTCTTTTTGATGGTGCTACCACCCTTGGAGTCTATAATAGGTACCCAAATGAAGACTGTGCAAATATTTGTAGCCATGGCTGCCAATCTCTCCACTGTTTTAATTTAGTTTATTTGCTCTGTCTATATCCCATTTGAACAGTCCTTGGAGATTTGCTTACTTTTATTGTCTAAAATAAATCATGGACCACTTAGTTATGCAAGCCATCTATTATCTTACCGCGCGCCAGCTGTTGAGAAGAAGATAATATATTCTTTCGACGACGCTAATCTCCTCAAATCATTGCCTAATATTGCAGTCAAAAAAGGACAGTCGTAAGTCTTGAGTTGGGGAGGACTGTCGAAGGATCGGTCCTCGTGTATGTTATTGCAGGTTTTTCGAATAGGCCTCGATGGCTTCTCTGGACGTCCACTTACGTACATCTTAAACGCAAGGTGTGGCGAATATTGAGGTACTGAGCACCTTATCATCCATCCGCAGATAAGAAATAAAAAGATAAGAACGCCGGAAAATTAATCATGAAGCAAGACGCGTGAATGTAATAGGCCAAGGCCTGCGTAGCGACAGCGGCGACTTCGGCGTACTTTTTAATTATGTATACATGAGCAGTGTGACAACGGCTTTACGGTCCAATGTATGTATACTAATAGGTGGAACGTAGTGTTTCAGTTTTTCCAATAGACCTCGACGGCGTTTCTGGGCGCGAGTGTGAGATATGTGTCTTGATCATGCGTTTTTTTACAGATTCACTTTATCGGACGTGACTACGAGAAGCTTCATGAGCTCATTCCCCGTGAACGACTGCCCGAAGAGTATGGTGGCACCCTGAACAGTTACGACTTCGACGCATTCGAAAGGGGCTTACGGAGCATGGAGGAGTTTTTTGTGGAGCTCAGCGATTACGGCTACCGGGAGCAGGAAGCATAAATACGTCGGCTGGATCCGGACGAAGCAGGATTATACCAGACGGGCACCTAAAAGGACCTTTACGCGAAAAGTCTTTAGGATTTTAAAATTACCTTTACATTCTGTCGTACCAGACTGTGCAAGTAAATGTCATTTAGACGATGTTGACAGCGATTGAAGCCTCGTAGCTCGGTTCAAACGCACAAATCGTGTTCACTCTCAAAAAATAATATTTTGGCGATATAAATCTTTTTTGTTTTTGTATTTCTTAAGCAAACAATATATTAAGAGAGACAAAATGACAAGTTCAGTCCAGTGATTACAACAAAGTCCATTTTAAACCCAAGTAAAGTGTTTTCCTTTTTTTTTTTGGCAATTAGCGGTGACCCTGAGCGTCCCGCGCTCACTCAGTTCTAGTCCTCGTTGCTCGGAGCTCCTGTTCCTTTCCGTGCTTCTGCTACGCTTTTGCCCTGCCCTGTTCGGTTGGGCGTCGTGCTCGTGCTAGAGTTTCATCGCAAGCGTCGGAGCTCATTCAGCCAATCCTTCCAAAGTCGTATCAGCGCCCAGGTCGCCTCAATGCTCCAATGAAAGCGCGGCGACCCCTTCCTAATCGTGGACGCTGCTCGGTAGTTCGACATATCGCACCATGCGAGAGTGAGATACAGAAATATATATGCATAAAAAAACAATAAATATATACAGCACGGCTAGTAATATAAGTAGAGAAATTAAAGCTAGATAAGAATGGTTGTAAGGAAAATCGAGAAGAGGAAAACCGAAGTGCCGAAGCGGACGACGCGAGCAGGCCGAGCAGGCGACGACGAGGCCATAGCTGGAGCCGTGAGTACAGAAAAGTATTAGTCGATCGAGGTTTGTGCACAATATACGTGAAACACGCTCTTTTTTAATAATAAAAGCGCAAACGCATTGATTTTAGATATCGGTTCGATCTTTTATTTCAATTCGCTTCTCTAGTGTAGACCGCAGCCTTTAGCAGCCCTAAAGGAGTTGCGGGAACTCAGGTTCACGAAAAGGACCTTTACGCTAAATGCCATTTGAGTTTCCGTGTGGTACTGCCTAAATGAGATTTACACTAAAGGTCCTTTGGCGTAAAGGTCCTTTTAGGTGCCCGTCTGACAGGGGTATTAGTTAGTTTGTTTTAGGAGAATGCATGGACAATTGACGTTTGCTGAATTCGGATGAGTGTGTGGTTGTTGATGAATTCGAAATTGATGTAATTACTTCAATCCCACCATGCGAAGTGAATAAAATGAAGCTACGTTAAACGTGGAGTAACTGTCATGCTGATATGCGCCAAGGAAACAATCACTATCAACTCCTGGAATAACGAAACTGGGATTCATTTATGGTTTCTTGCGGATATTATTTCCGGCTCTCAAACCCTTAGGCGTGAGAACGACGCAAGACCTTCGCTTTTTCGGTTCTTACCTTCTGTAGGATATGAAATACGGGTTTTGAAGCATTTCCCTGTTTAGTGACTGAATTTGACTTTGCGGCGGTAGGATCACCTCGCATATGAATGTGTAGTTTTGAGGCTGACAGGGGTCAGGTGGGAATTATGAGACAGCATGAAAAGTAGCTTCGGCAATTTGGACCTGCATGGGCAATCCCTCCTGGCAGTGGCGCACAGACCGACGAGGGGGGGGGGGGGATGCCTAAATCAACCCCCCCCCCCCCCCCAAGAGCTTTCCCTTTTCTTGTCACCGCTGACGGTTGGTAGGGCCGATAAAAGAAAAAAAAAAACATTTCTGCCTGACGAGTCGGAACCTTTCCGATATTCAGTCTGCCCACTTTCCTTGCTATCATCATAGGAGTACTGGACATTTCTGTGAACATACTATACTTCATTATGGCTAGTAAGCATGAATTCGTAGCCCTTTGTTCTGCAGCACTGAAAGCGAGCGTAGAAGAAACTGATCATAGGTGCAAAGTAGAAACATATGATCCCATATGTCAATCGTGGTGAACATAAAGCACAGGGTCAATTCATTGTAGGCAAATTTAAGCTCCCTCAAGTCAGAAAAATAACGGAAATCCTTTTTTTCTACGCTAAAATTTTTCTTCTTTATTTTTGCGACATCATCACATGGCGAAATGAGACATCAAGGCGTTTATCACGACTGAAAAACAGTTGGAACAAAAAGTGAGCAAAATTTGCTCACATATTATCCGCCCCATGTTGTCGAAATAAAAACCGCAGTAGCCCAACAATCATTTGTCGTGTACTACAGGCGAAGTTTAAAAATGTAGTTTGTTTTTATGTTTTTCACTAAGTAAACTTATCCTTCCATAATATTACAAAAAAAAAAAAATACGGACGACTTTTGTACTTCTGCTTCTTGTATATTTTAAGTGCTTCATTTTTATTCGATTAATGTTTATCTAATGCAGTGAATGCAGGGTCTCTAACTTCTTTGGCTAATTGGTCCTACTGGGGATCGATCGCTGTCTCGGGGGCCGGAAAATAAATAAGGAAATGCAAAATAGCAAAAAAAAAAAGAGACGTTTACATTTATCTGTAATGCCGAATTAGAGCGCAGCTCTTGAGGAGGAGGAGAGGAGGGTACGGAGGGGAGGGTCACGTGTGACGTCACGACTGCAAAAGTTTCTCGCTAAATCTGGCGGGAACTTTTCCGCTAAATTTAGCGGGAAAATCTTACATTCGTGACGTCACACGTGATGTCACGTATAAAGTCACTAGGGTTAAGCTTTCCCGCTAAATGTAGCGGAGAAACTTTCCCGCAAAATTTAGCGGGAAAAGTTCCCGCTAAATTTAGCGAAAAAATTTGCCGCCAAATTTAGCATTAAAATGCTGCCCTTGTGACGTCACACGTGATGTCACGTGTGACGCCATTATAGAAAACGTCCCATAATGTAACGGGCTGTTACGCCGACGGCGACGGCGACGCCGCTCAAGCCGCAAACGGGTGCCTAAGAGCTGCGCTCTTAAACTAAATCTATACACGAACTTAGCTCTTAGCGAGTTCGTTTCACAGCACTCGTGCCCACGCGTGCCCACTCGCAGCGTGGAACGGGTTCGTTTCGGCCGGCACACCACGAGTGGTTGCACTCTCCGAGTTCGTTTCAGCGCTGGCACCCCACGCGTGCTTGCACTCGCTGCACCGAGAAAATCGGGAGTGCGCCCAAATGCAATCCCGTCATGCCTCGCACCGGCGGGGCCGGTGAGGAGCGGGAGCAGACGACGAGGGTTCGTCTGCTACGATGTGTCGCAGAACCAAAAGGAAAAAAAAAAAAGATTTTCTGACAGAAATCGCGTCCCGCGGGCAACGAAATCAAACGCGAGCTTGAATTGTGAGCGTCTGCTATTTCACGAAGGAAGCAATTGACAACCCGTGATTTATTTGCAGGTTTTAAATCGCTCTGTTGCCGTACAAACACTGAAATGTACCAGGGTGTAAAGAAATGCTCAGAACAAACGCAACAGCGGCCCCCGAGATGTCTATCACCATCCGTGTGTGGGTGAAAAATTTAACATTTGTCGACAAAACTCTCCCAGCAGAAACCTCCGACTGCCCAATAAGCATCAGAGAAAGCTAAAGATGGTGACTTTACCCTAGGATTGGGCAACATTATCATGTTTAACATTTACCTACGTCAGCTAACTTGCCCCGTCGTATTTTGTTCGAGAAAGCTATCGTTCTCGACGCCCTCACCAAGGCTAATATCTAATCCACCTTTAGTGACGATCCAAATCGAAAGTCCCAATTTTGCTGGATATTCCAACAGGCTAGTTTTGAGCCGTACCCTTTCAGTGGTTCCCGCATAAGACCATGCTCAAACGGATCAAGCTTCTGCTCTGACAGCATCATCAGTTTTCTTCAGTGTAAACGGTTATAATAATTGAAAGATCGCAACCAACTGCTTTGTAGGCAGCTGGTTGCGGAAATTTACACCGTCTGTAACTATCACTCCGGCAGCCGAGCTGCTTGAAGTCATCGCAACTATAAACTACAGGTTGCAGCGACCAATGTTTGTAGATAAACGTTGGTAGCGACTGAATTCTCGCAGTCCCACGCATCACTCCGAACAGAAAGGCGCTTGTTTCGGTTTGAAGTCGGTACCTTTTCTACAACATAGATGGCGGCAGCATCAGTCTTCTGCACTCGGTGCATTTGGCGAGTTCGTTTGAGTCCAGTTTTCCGTGCAACACTCTGTGAGTGCAATGCATTCTGGGAGGGAACTCGAACGGTGCCAGTGCGTGTGAAACGAACTCGCTATCTGTTAACGCCGTGGTGGTGGCGCGTCGGGTGCACTTCCAGTCTGGGGTTGTGGGCGGGAAAAGTGTCTAGTTAAGGTTTTCCGCTAAAAGGCACTCGACGTTTTAAAATATTTCCTAAAACGTGCCCCCCCCTTTCCCTCTTTTAATATACAGGGTTGTTTTCACCAAAACAAAATAAACAATGCACCAAACCGCTTATTCTCTGGCCAAATGTAACGCTAGAGGTCGGAACCAGACGCCAAAGTTTCAGAACTAACCGTCAATTGGTTCGAAAGTAATAACTGATATTCTAAAAAAATTAATGGGACAATGGGGCAAGTTCTTAGTAACGCGTTATTGCGTCCTATGTATTCGAGGACTGTTCATTCTTTAAACTTCAATATTCAACCGTCATTTTCATACAGGAAAATTTAAGAAACTCGCTCTAACTTTTCAATAACATAACGGTTAGTCCTGAAACATTAGTGGAAAGCTCGTGCAACATTAGTGGTGGGGCACTAGTGCTACAAACCACTAGTGCTAAGTTAGGGAGGAAAATTAGCGTTTTGGCTGTGTGCAGTTAAGCATAGAGGTAAAACAACCATGTAAAGTTTTGGTGGACCTTGAAATGCTGTTGAGATTAAGATACCGAAGGTGCGGATATGTTGAGGTTGGTCTTCTAGGTGCCCATGGGAGTACCGACGTGTGTAACTTGAATGAAGTCTTCAAGGTCGCTGTTGTGAGAGGTGAATGCTGCCTGCTGGACGAGACAGCTGAGATCACAGGCGCTGTGGGTATTGTGGACCTGTAAGTGCTCAGTGTTACTTCTCTCCATGACAGCGCCTTCTTGATCTGGATGGTCGTTCAGCTTCTTCAGGAATTTGCGCCGAGAACCATGCTAGGTGGCGCCATTGAGTAGCACATGAATGTCACGTGATACCCGGAATGTGAGAATGTCCGTTTTGTGCAACGCGCGCGCCGTAGCGGTGCTGCGTGATTCCTTGCTTTCGGACGCGGCGCGGTGGGAAGCCCGCTGACAATAGTCGAGCCAATTGGTTGCTAAAGCTTGCCTGTATCCTGTGAGCACACGACTTTCTGAGGGCGGACTTTATCCTGAGAGCACACGACACAGGATACAGGCAAGCTTTAGCAACCAATTGGCTCGACTATTGTCAGCGCGCTTCCCTGATTCGGTCTTGAGGAGTGTGGCGGAAACCATCCTGCAAAGAGTGAAGGGACACGCTGCTGGAAAAACGATGCAGTCAACACTGAGGAATGTGAGGCCTGAAACGGTACCATACGTGCACAAACTCTCGCATAACCTCAAGAAGGTTGCGAACAGACATGGGGTGCCGATTGTGTTTACAGCTCCGACAATACTCGGCCAACTCTGCCCCTGCATTGCTGGAGAAAGCAGACAGAAGCGAGGATGCAGCACAAACCATGCCAGGCCGTTTGTTGGCTGCAAAACAGAGGTCGTCTATTAAATCCCGCTCACGTGTGGGAAGACATACGTGGGGCAAACGGGAAGGTGTGCCAACGACCGTCTCAGGTAGCATGCTCAAACTTTAAAAACTAATGACGGGGCGCATTTGCCTGCACACTGCAAAAACTCTAAGTGTGAGCCACGTGTTTCTGATACTAATTTTGGGCGGAAGTAAGGGACAAAAAGCACGTGAGCTGTTGGAAGCCTTTATCAAAAAGAAAGGCGACCTATGTCTGAGCGATACCTCGATAAGTTTGTATAATGCTGAGAAACGCTTCCTTGATAAGTTTGTGTGACGAGCGTGAGATAGTGACACGACGCATGCGTAGACGCATTGAAGTTGACGATATACCTGTATGTTTTCTAAAGGTTTCCTCAATACAGTTGTAAGTTGCGCTCGTGTTTGTTTCTCTCTCTTGTGTACGTCTTTTTTGCGCAAAACCATGTATCCAAACGTTCATGAACTCGCCCAACAACAAACTATTTTAAAGTATTGCCTTTCTTATGGTGCAGTGGCTGCGGTGTCATGTTGTGATCGAAAAAAAAAAAACTAACCTATG